CTTATATGTTTGTTACATAATTAGTTTTATTAACTTTAATGATTATAGCTTCATTAAAAAAGCAATTATTTTTGTAAGTCTTTGTTTAAATCATAGAAATTGCTTTAAAAGATACATTACGATAAAAAACAGATACACAAAATTACATTTACATAAAGAATACATACTTTTTAAATAAAAAATAAGAATATACTAATAAAATCTATAATTTATAATAAACTTTTAAAATTTTGACAATTTAATTAATATATTTAAAACATTTATTTTTGTAAACAAATAATATTAATTCTTAAAACAATTTATGCTAGAAATCTCAAAACGTAACAAATTGTGAATAATACAATTTTTAAAACATTTCAACAGAATACTCTAGAACTTTATTTCGTATTTTTTGAACCAATAGAATTAGTTTGTTTGTTAATTTGTCGGGTTTTTAGTGTTCGCGAGTATTCTTTTTCTTCTTTCGTACCAAGATGTTTTAAGAACATTAAAGTTTTTTATGTTTCCATGTATGTCCGTTAAACAAAAATTTTTTGTTTGGTACATAAATGTGTTTTGTTTTAAATGTTCTCAAAACGACTAAAAAACCTGGCCAGTTTTTCGCAACTAAATATAATTTCCGTGGTCAGTATTCGAGAGCGAACGCTCCCGCTTTCCGACCAAGCCTGCTGTAAAAGAAATTCAAGCAAAGTCTACTTGTAATCAATCAATAAATATATTTCCACTTAATAACTGCATATATATATATATATATATATATATATACAATAGTGAGGGAAATTAAAAAACAGTTAAAAACTGATGATGCGTAAAGACCTACGATGATATAAAACAATTATTGTAAAATTATAACAATAATAAATATAACTAATATAATAAATATATAGTAATGATAATAGATAACATAAAAGGCTATCATAACAAAGTAGTAAATTAAATTAATAATTAGTAGTCAAAAGTAATAATGATAGTGAATTAGAAACAATAATAATAATATCAAAGTTAGATATAATAATAAGCAAAGTAATGATGTCAAAGATAAGATAATATTAGTAAGAAGGAAGACAAAGTTAGTAGAAAGTTAAGTATATAAAAGATTTTTTTTTAATTTTTTTTTTTTTAATCCGTATAGTTTTGTTTTATATATGCATATTAACTTTAAGGTTTAATGTAATATTAAAATTAAATTTTGAATATATATATATATTTAATATATATATATATATATATATATATATATATATATATATATATATATATATATATATACATACACATATATACACATACATTACACACATACATACATATATACATACACATACATACATACTTACACACATACACATACACACATATACATATATATATATATATATATATATATATATATATATACATACACACATACATATACACATATACCATGTAATCCACACCCATGAAATATTACCGTCATAAAAAAATATCTCTTTAATATTAATCTAACTAGCTGCATCACAAGTCAAGCCATATGATATTGTTAAATTGTCAAATTTAAAACCTTATAAAAAGGCAACAGACGACCTTATAAATATCTAGTAAAGTCATGCATGCGTATTTGAGTTCTCAAAATGCAATACGAACGGTCGAACTCGTAATATAGACGTTGAGTTAACGTGGAATCAACGTCGATTTTATTTTGATAGTTTTAAACAAATTTTCAACGTTGATACAATGTTGATGTTTCTAAGTATAAATTTATGTTAAGAAAGAAAAGTTTTTATTTCATCGCTTGCTCTTTTTATAAAAGAGTTGAACAAAAGAGAAAGAAAAGTTTCGCGTAATTAAACTTCGAATAAATAAGAGTTGTATAGAATATTTATTTTTTCTACATCACTCGTTCGTTTTTAGATAAGAGAAATAAAAGTTTTAATAAATAGTAACTTTTCTTTGAATAAATGAAAATTGGAAGAGAAAATTGCTTGAAAATTTGTATTTGTTGTGTTTTATATTTTTTTAATTTTTCATGTTAAGAGTCAAATGCCAAATATGATACAAATTGGGAAATACCAAATATAATATGTTTTTTAACGCACTTTATGACATTTTGACTAGGGATGGCAATCTCAGTCAAAATGTCATTACGAAATCCCGGGATTTCGTAAAAAATGTTCATCCCGAAATCCCGGGATTAGTCTCAGAAATTTCCCGGGATTTCGGGATTGTCAAAAAAAAAGGAAAGGTTAATAAAGTTTAAGCTTATAATTGTAGTTTAGTAATTTTTATATTGTCTTTGGTATAGTCGCTGTTTGGTTGTGTAATAATTTATTATCTTTGCAATGTTTTCCTTTTAAAACTCTTATTTTCTGTATTTTACTAAAAAAAAAACTCAAAACATTATTGCTTGTCTGCAAAATGTATATATGTTTATATATATATATATATATATATATATATATATATATATATATATATATATATATATATATATATATATATATATATATATATATTTTTTCTTTTAATTGTTCATAATTTTATTATAATTTTATTATGCGGTAGTGGTAAGAGGGCTCGCTTTGTAAGCGAGAGGTTCCGAGTTCGACTCCCACCATGTCCTTGGAAGTACCGCGCTCAACTTAATTTCTACGCGCAGCGGCCTTGCTTGACAAGGTTCGTGTTTCGGAGTTAAAGAGTTCAGAGAGGATTGTACCACGATTTAGAACAAAAAAAAAAAAAAAAATGAGTAGCCTCCTCGACTGTAGTGCCCCCCTCGGGCCTTGGGGAGGTGAATAATTAAAAATATATATATATTTATATATTATATATATATAATATATAGTATTATATTAAAACTAGTATATTATAAAAATAGATAAAGTTTAAGCGCTTGCTGGTAAAATGAGCAAGAGTTTTTAATAGAAGTTATACATTAATTTAATTTTGAATTTTCTGCTTCCAAAAGTATGCGCTATTTTAATTCCAGTTTTATATCCATTAATTTTAATTTTCAAATGTGTGATTTATAAAAGTTTTTTTTAACGTCATACATATTTATATTATTTTTTAATTTTTCTTTTTATTTATACTGTGTTACCATTTTAAGGTATTGTTTTATATAATACTTATAATACTTATAAATTATCATTAAATTAATCATTTTTAAGTGTTTGATAAGTGCCTAAAAAGTATTCAATTGCATTTGCTTTTTTTTTATTCAATCTCTGGATTTCCCGGGGACAAATTTCTCAATCCCGAAATCCTGAGATTGAAAATTTCCAGGATTTTTGCCATCCCTAATTTTAACAATTTAAATTACCATTTATCTTAAATTATTGCCATTAATTAATGTGTTAATTATTGCGTTATATAATAATAGTTTGTCCGTTTTTTTGTTAAGTATTAGTTGTATAAAACGGGCGAAAATATACAAACTTCATGTTTTTTATTTGATGGTTATAAAATATTGAACAGTAAACTTGTAATCAAAATTTATAACGCCGACTTGTGTTGCTATTAATTGTACTTTTAATGCAAAACCAAGATCTCACATATCCTTTCACGAATTTTCATATCTGATACTACTGTCAACTGTATTGTTTAGTGTATTCTTGTATTTTTTTTTTCATAACCTTAACAGGTTCTAATTGCTATGGAGTTGCCGACGTTTTAAAAGTTTCATTATCAAAAATCAAATGTAAAATAAAATATTTCCTTTTTATCCGTATCCAACTTAGAAAATTTAGCAATTTAAAATAAATCAGCGTAATCAAAAAATTTTTATAATAAAAAAAGTTAACAATTCATCATATATCTCTAATTAATACTGTCAGTTTATGAAAGTAATTGTTAATACTTTTTTTCGACGGGAAAACAAAAAATATCATAGCGTAAAAATAATCAAAGAAGTTAGAAAAAAGTTCCCATTGTTTAAATAAAATTAAGTAAGATTAAATAAAATAAGTAAGAATAAATAATACTGCTTTGTTTAAATAAAAATTTTAAATAAGATAAAATAAAAATAATTAAGAATATATAATACTGCGCTCTCTTGTACAAAAATGAGAGACCGTATACATAACGTTCTTTATAATGTAAAATGCTTGTATGAAAATCATAAGATTCGCAAGTAAAGCTTTAATATTTGTTTAAATTTAAAAACAAAAGAATTATAAGTAAGATATATAAATCTATATAAATATATATCTTCTCCTATGAAATAAAAAACTTTTATTATTTTTGATTTTTACAAAAATTTGTTATAAAAGTTGTTTTGCTGTATGTTAAAAAATTTTTTTTTGAATTAAAATATAAAAACGCAGCTTTGTTTAATTACACTTTTCTTTTGTTAAAAATCTACCGTGACGTCAAATGCTAAAACTTTTATGAATTAAACGCACTTCAAAGGAATCACCAAAGTCTGTAGATTGCGACATATAATTTAAAGACTCTGAGTTATTGAAAAAATAGAGAAGGCGAGCTTCGGCTAAAACAACAACATTAGTTTTTCTCGGTATGCATTCATTATTTATTTTTAATCAAAAAAACTTGGTTCAAACCTTTTTTTTTAACATTATCTTTAATATGAACACAACATGTGTTGGGAGTTTGGGATCCCTTTAAGATTTTTTTTTGTTATTCACCTCCTCAAGGTCAAGAAGGCCACTACAGATGAGGAAGCTAATTAATAGTGGTTATAACTCTCTCTCTCAACTCTATAACTCTGAAACAAACCATGACAAACAAGGCCACTGCGCAGAGAAACAAGTTGAGCGCGGTACTACCAGGGACATGGTGGGGATCGAACTCGGAACCTCTCGCTTATGAAGCATTTTACCACAACACCACTACCACATGAAGATATTTAGAGCTGATGATTTTTAATAACTTTTTTAAAAGCTCTTTTTAATGTGTTAATTTTGATACTCAAGAATATTTCAAGTAACTAATTTAGTTTATTTAATAAAATGATAAAACAATGATGGTAAAGAAAATTAAAAATGTTTTTTTATTTTTAGCTCTAAAAATGAACAATCTCATGGGGAGTTACTCTTTGGATTTTTCAAGTATTATTCTCTTGAGTTCAAGTTAGTAATGTTTATTTTATTTATGTTTTACTGTTTGTTTTCCTTTCTTCGCAGTTTGTTAAGTTTATCAGTACAATTATGTTTGTTAAAAAATAATGACTCATGAGTGAACATAATTAGTTTAATGAACTTACTAATATCACAGATTTCACTTATTTCATTTATTATTTCATTTATTTGAATGATTTCACAGATTTTTTTCTGACTATGTTCTAAAAAGAAAAGAAAAGGTCCTTTTTGGCTGACATTTACCAACTGCCGACTATAGATTTTCAATTTACCAACTGAATTGCCTCTGCTCACTTTCCTTACTGATATCACTGATTTTATTGGTCACCAATAAAATCAGTGATATCAGTAAAATCAGTTTAAATATTGTCATTTTTTTTATACCCTTTTTATATGATCATAGAAAGTAAAAGATTTTTATTACTAAACTTACATTCATTCAGTAAAACTTACATTCATTCATCGAAAAACTTTGCATCAACTATTTCAGCACCCATCTCTATGTTGTTTATCAAATCGTTTATTTCCTCTACTTTGCCAAATGAATGGCTATTGGCAAATGTTGTTCCGTTATTTAAAAAGGGAAACAAAATTGAACCTAGAAACTAACCACCTGTGTCTTTAACATCGATTTTGTGCAAGTTAATGGAATGTTTGATTAAAAATAGCCTAGTATTTTACTTGAATAGCAACCTAATTAATCCAAACCGGCATGGAGTTATTCCTTTGAAAAGTTTATTAATAATAATAATACAAGGTTATAGCTACTTGTTGGAAACTTACTATTCTTTTACCTAAATTTAAGGATACCAGTAGATACCTAGTAGATACCAGTAGATACCAGTAGATACCTGGTAGATACCAGTAGATACTATTTACTTTAATTTTGCTAATGCATTTGATTAGATTTCCCATAAAAAAACTATTTATAAAACAAAGATTCACAGTAGGAGATTCTACATCAAATCGGATACAGTGTAGAGTAACTCAAGGCTCAACCTTGAGATACTCTACACTGTGTGTGGATAAATAGTATGTGGGACCCATACTATTTGTTCTATACATTAATAGTATGTTGAAAAATATTACATGTCACTCCAAACTGTTTGTTGACGACACAAAAATATTAGCTGCTGTTTCTAATAAAACAGACTGTTTAAGTTTAATACATAGTGTTAATAAAAAATGGGGATGGACTAAAACATGTTCTATGACTTTCAATAAGAAAAAATGTAATATAATGCATTTTAGTCAAAATAAACAGAATTATAGCTACTAAATAAACATAAAATGGAAACAACTGAAAAGAAAAAAGACTTGGGTGTATTGTTCGCAAAAGACCTTAAATGGAAGGAACATATTGCAACTGTAACTTGTAAAGCAAACCGTTTTTTAGGATTAATAAGGAAAATGTTCAAAAGTAATAATAGAATCATAATTAGACAATTGTATCTATTTTTAGTAAGACCTTACTTGGAATACGCAGTGTCTGTCTGCTGTCTGTACTTAAAAGGTAACATTAAAACTGTAGAAAGCATACAAAGAGCAACAAAAATTACTGCATTCTGTTTTTTTATTATATAAAACCATAGCTATAACCTTGTATTATTAATGCTAAACATTTCCTCAGATAAAATCTTTGCTTTAAGTTTCAATAAACACTTTATTGACGAACAAAAAAAAATTGCAATAAAATAACAAAATAAGAAAGCAACTGTAGTTTGTTTTATTGCTTATGTTATATATATATATATATATATATATATATATATATATATATATATATATATATATATATATATATATATATATATATATATATGAAAAATTATAAAGCATTTAAAATTTTGTAAGATATGTTTTAGTACATGAGTGTCAAAGTTAATTTTTTTTTTGTGGATATTGTATGAAATTATAATTTTATATTTGTAATTAAAATTATAAAATATAACCCAAATAATTTTTAACAAGCAAAAAAATTGACTTTAAAAAGATAATATCTAATTAAATTTATGATTGCATTCTAGATGGGATGAAATGGTGATAAGTGTTCGTCTTGGTCAAGCTACACCACGATCTTCAAACGCAATATGGAATGATGCATATATATGCATTGAAGGTTGGAAAAAAATGTTTTTAGTAAAAATCTCATAATTTAACATTCTGCAAGAATGTTGTTAATTGTTATTTACATAATAACATTTTTAAATGCATCAGAGAAAATGATCAGAGATACGACTCAAAATATTTTATTGTTAATTTATATTTCCCTTGTAGCAGTTAGAGGAAAAAATACATGTTTAAACCAATGATATATTATATAACTAGATGTCTAACTTGCGGGATTTAATTAGACAAAAAATGAAGCCGCTTTTTTTTTATTTATAACAATAGTCTGCCATTTGTAAAAAAGGCAAAAGCTGAAGCCGATGTGTAGAATAAAAGTTAAAAATGCACATCAAAAGTTCTCATTAAATTAAAGATAATTCAGAGCCTATGTTTATTAAAAATAAACATAGGCTCTGAATAGAGACTATGTTTATTAAAAAGTATTTTAGTTCATAAAAATGCTTCAAAATAGTAAGACGTTTTACTTTTCTATTTAAAACTTTAATCCTTTTTTAATCAAAAATAAATTAAGGAATCTTAAATTATTATTTTACGAGTATTACAATTTCCGCTTAACACTTTTACGTAAATAGTATTTAAATTTAAAATATATTTACTTCATTTAAGAAAAGAAAAGTTAAAAATATTTGTTTACAAATTTAATCCGCCATTTGTAAAAAGGGCAAAAAACGGCTTCACTTTTCGTAATGAGGTTAGGCATCTAGTTATATAATATATCATTGGTTTAAACAGAAAATACCATAAAAATGTCAACTCCTGAAAAAGGTCATGCACCAAGACACCCGATGACTGGTGGGTGCCTTTTATTGTTAAAAAATTTAAATATTAAAAAGATATTAAAAGTAAAAATTTATAGAGATTATAAAAATAACAATCTTTTTTAAATAAAAACTGTTTAAAATAGATATTGTTGAAAAACTGTACTTTGTATCTTTAATGTTTCCCTTGTGGTCGGGCTTCTATCTTCTAAAGATAGTGTTTTACTTGTGGTCGGACTTGCTTCTTTCTCCTATAGATAATGTTTTACATATTGTTGTAAATAGAATTCAAAAAGAACAAATCATTCTGCTGTTTCTTAAAAGTAGTGCCTTTGCATTATATGAACAATTGTTGTGCCATCACAGCACATTATATGTGCTGCGAGTTACAAGTATGTTTGTTACTAGTAATTTTTTAGTACAATGCAACACCAATAATCAGAAGAATTGACAACACCTAAAAGAATGCAACACCAAGAAGAATTCAACACCAAGACAAGACAACACCAAGACAAGACAACACCAAGAAGAATGCAACACCAACAATCGGAAGAACAAAAGAGAATTCCGCATCTGCTTCTCAAAAAAATATGTATGTCTGGCATCTACCAATTTAAGAGGAGAAAAGCAATGAAAAACTCCAAAAAGAATACACTGAGTTATGGAAACTTATAGAATTGAAGAAGTTTATGTTCACCCCGCTGATGCAAAGTGCGTTTCAGTTTGGAATATTGGTACTGTAGCTGGCATACTCACAAACACAAATTGACAGTGTACTGAGATATGTGTGAGAAGTGAGAATAGCTCCTGCCTTAAATTCAAATCAAATTATCCAAAAAAATAAAAGTAAACAAAGATTTCATATTAACAAAATCATTGAAATTTTACGAAATAAAGCACATCTAAGTGAGAAGTATTTTTTTAATTTGCCATCAAGAGTTGTCTTGCATTATTCTCATGTAAAATGTGGTAAAAATTTGAAAATGTTCTAGAAAATTCGAGAATGTTCTAGAAAATTCGAGAATGTTCTAGAAAATTTGAGAATGTTCTAGAAAATTCAAGAATGTTCTAGAAAATTCTTGTATATTCTAGACAGTTCTAGCAGTTTCAGAATTAAATAAATTAGCATTTGAATTCTGAGCATGCTAAAAGAATGCTCAGTATTCAAAACCAAACCAAAATCAAAAGATTTTGTTATTGGTGACAAAATGAAGTGTCTTTTAATAAACACATTATTTATCAGAATAAAGGGTACAAAGACAATTTTTCTGAAAATACTTGATGAATATGTAGATCAATCAATTCATCAAAACCAGAACTCATAAAAAAAAGTAAAAGATTTTTCTCAATTAAGTGAGAAATGCTGCCATTGTAATGCTACCATGTAATGACCCTGTTGTAAACCAATTGGATAATTAAGTGATAAAATGGCAATATATATTGTAAACTCAACTTGATTATTTATTGATTTTATCTTTTCACGTAAAAATTTAAAAATTAATCCATGCTAAACATATATAGAAATTTCAGAATTACTGGTCTATATTGTAAACCATGAAAAAAAAATTATTATATAATATTTTTTCATGAAATTTAAGACCTGTCGATGAGTTTAAATTTAATATAAGATTGTAAAGTTGAAAATTTTACTACATAACTGCTTTTAGGTTTGGGCAGGAGAGAATTAGGGCAAACTTTTTAGGTTATTTATGTTTCCAGGTCTCCATTATCACAATATTTTGCAAAGTCTCCATATTTAGCATTGGCGTGAACATACTTAAGTTTCATATCTGAAACATCAAAAAATCCTGTGGCCGCCCACCCTCTAATAAATAAAGGATTGATTTGACATTGATTCAATGTTTCTCAGCAACATTGATTTCATTGATTTACTGTCCAAAATGTTAGCCACATATCAACATTGATATAAAACATTGATCAAGTGTTTCTTTTCAATGTTAAATCAACATTTAATAAACAATATATATTTTATACTGAAACTTCTAAATTAAAACCTTTGTCTTGGATAAAATA